CCCCCCCCCCCCCCCCCCCCACGCAAGGAAATCGTCATTTTGGAGGATTCGAGCCCTCAAAAAGGCTCTGCCGCCGCCCCCGTGGGGGGAATCATCATTCTGGAGGATTTAGGCCGTAAAAATGCCAAAATGGTGATTCCTGCGCGTGCCCCTGCCATGTCGTGGTGAGGTTTTCAATGCCTTGTCATGGTGAAGTTGTTTTTCTGTCGTGGTGCCAATATTTCTTGTTATGGTGTGAGACCCTTTCTCTTGTCATCAACTTCTCTGAACGTGTATCATACCTTACACAGAGGGTCTCCGGCTGAAGAAGAACATGAGATCAGGCAGCAGCACATGTCACAGTGCTTTGGTGCACAGGGGCGGACAAGTTCATTTACACCGGGCAGTCGGAAACATCAAACCAAGCTCTCCTACACGCTGAACAATAAGAAGCACCTGAGAAGCACCCAACAGCAACAGCACCTATGTGATTGTGACCCTCTTCCATCATCCGAAATGCATAGCGAAGGGCCTTCAAATCCATTGCAGCAGTTGGATGAAAGGCGATTGTTAAGTTAAGCATGCTACAAGCCTGCCTGTTGGCAGCTCCATGTAGCGCCGCTTTCCAAGTATATATTTTCAGAAGCATTCCATACGTATCAGCAGAAGTGCCGTGGCTTTGTGTCGCAGGATTCGAGCACCTGCCCGAGCCCTGGCAAAGTGCACAAGTCTGCAGTCATCATCGGAAGGGGAGCCACTGCAGATGCCAGGGCATGCGAGACGTCCTGCTTTCGTTCGAAGTGGCATGTGATGTTTTCGGATCTGAACTTGAGCAGTTGCATATATCACTGTCTCCTCTCTCGACATCTCTCAGACCTCAAGGCCAAACATTTGCCAAAGAACTAGATCCTGGACCGCTGGATTGGAGATGCCTTGCAGTGGCTCGGCGTTCAGTCCGGGAACTGCCAGTGGCCCTGTTGGCCGGTTTCGGGTTGGCTGTGGACTGCCCTGTTTCAGCACTTGCACCGAAGTCGAGGCCTTGATGCCAGCAGCGGCCGCTTCACACGCAGGCCTTCTGACAGGCACGATTTAGGTCATGCACGCCGAGCCGCCGAGCTGAAGTAAACGGTGGCCATGGATCAGGGTTTTTTAAAGGTTTTTTGGAGAATGTAGACTGGACGCGAGGCTCCGTAGCATTTGCATGTGCCGGAAGCCCAGCAGCCTTCAGAGCTGAAGCCACACTTCACTTTCTGATGAGCCACAACCAAGAATTAGTGCAATTCTGCGCGACATGCGCCAAGGTTCCCATTGCCGTACCCTTCTCTGTCCCGCAGGCATTGTCCGGAAGTGCTTCATGCAGATGTCGGGGAGAGAAACGTCGTGGTCAGGTTGCTGCAGACAGCTGGTTGGCCAACAAGCGAGCCCGCGTGCATTGCTGAGTCGTGTCGAGCTGGAGCAAACTTGCCACGCGCTTTGCAGAAGCAGCCCACATGTAATTGCAGGCGTTTCATCGCGGAGTCGTCATTTCAGCCGTTGGCCTTACTGTGATGAGCGATAGCGATCGCATCACAGAACGTAGCCAGCTGTCGCTTTACGCAAAAATCGAGGTTTGTGTTCAGGGTGTCCTGACATTGCTGAAGCTCTCCCGGGGAGACCTTGTGGGCGGCTTGCTGCGGGCTGAATCATTGAAGCTCTTGCAGCAAAGGTGAGACTTCGTGAAGGCTGTTTCATGACAGGGCAGCATGCTTCTGCGTGAGGTATGATGGCGTACTTACTGCGATGGGTAGTTATGCCGTTCAAACAGAAGGCACGGCTCTTTGAGTCCAAACTGTGAGCGAGGACTACGGACTACGTGTTTGCAGGAATCCGCTTCTTTCCGACCTACATCATTTGCTGCGGCTTCAACGGGTGAGAGCCCTTGAGAATCCAGAGATTTGGCGCCCGTGGTCCCGGCTCAGCTGCAGGTTGCTTGGATTGCTGCAAATCATGCAAGGCTATCAGGCAGCCGTTCTGCTGTTTTGAGATTTGTTGAGGCAATGAAGGCCTGCACTTGCTAGTGTACTGATCGGCTGGTGTTAGTTGCAGGGTATTCCAATGCACATGCTTCCGTGGCTGGCCTCTTCCTCAAAGATTGGCTATGATATGATTCTATTGAGTTTGTCGGCTGCGATACCTCCAAGGCCGTTCTGCCACCGTCGATTGCCCTCTTTGGTGCTTATTGCGGGCACCAGCCTCAAGCCTCGATTGCGGAGGTACCTGTACCCCGCGGCCCCAAGAGACTTCAAGAATTGCAGGTGGCAGTTCTGCAAGGAGGTCAGCGCCATCTCCGCGGGGCATACTGGGGCTGGACCTCAGGAGACGTGAGAACTATGCCTGGACTGCTCTTTTCGTAGTGCTGCTCATCCTGTTCTCATCCTTTGCCTTTACGAAATGCTGAGTAGATCCCAGCAGATCCCTGCGAATTTGTGTCAAGTCGGCAGGACACCTGCTTTGTCAGAGTGATGGGTGCAGATTGGTGGCCCTCCTTCCTCGGGCCCGCGACCTCAGAGCAGACTGCGCTTGCGGTTGTGCCGGACTTGCGGTTTTGTGGGTTCCCCAAAAACCCTGTGGGACAGAGCGTCCACAAAGGCCCCAGGTGGCCACGAGAGAGGAACGCTTTACGCAGTGGGGCCGGCCGGGAGGTGCAATTAGCAGAGGGCAAAGTCAGCTTGAATGCAATGCGATGCACACGCTTCGATTGAAGAGATCTAATGCAGCTAACATCCGCCAGGAAGGCTCGTGTTCCTAAAACATAGAGGCAGCAAGCACCAACACCCCAAAGCGGAGATGATGGCAGGAAGCGTCTCTGGGCAAGGAGGTGGCAGGCCGCGGCGGCCTGGACTGCCCTGTTCAAGTCTTGGCATCAAGTGCTGCTACGAATGTTTAGTTTGCGGTAGTTGCTTCTAGTTGAGATGCACAGCAGCAACTACAAGTCTGATAGATATGACGACTTGTGCTCGGTCTCGTGGCAGGGACCAGTTCTCGGCTTTCGGCGGCGACGGGCACCGCCTGGGAGAGAACTGAAGGAAACATTGCCGTTTCAGAGCTCGCAGTGCAAAGAACACTGCTCATGGCGAGTTTTCAGACCTAGTCACATCGCACTCGTCGCATCACTGGCTCCTGGATCGATTGCAACGGTCCAGAGCCCCAGGGTTTGCAGCCCCGGGGTCTTTATCAAAGCATGAGCTAGCGCAACACAATGTTTACATGTTGGCCTGCAGGCTTCTATAGCTGTTTTTGTCTTTCCATTATTGTGGGTATTCCTTGGTCGTGCTGTGTCCTGGTCTTCGGCATCAACCACCCTGCCTCTCAAGTTCGGACACATTTTGTCAATATCCGCCTCAAAGAATATGAGTACGTCTTCTTCACAATCCAACGGAAGAAGGCAGCGCAAGTTCATAAGACTTTGACCCCCCCTCAGAGTTCTATTCCGTCGTTGTCTTGCCTACGTTTTTATCAAACCAATAAACCTTGTTCGTTGCGGTAGCGTTTTGCAAAAGCTGAATGACTGAATGACCAGGGGCGGGTAATCATTCGTTGCCGCGACCTTTAATTACGAGGTCTCGCAGGGCAAAATACACGGGCGGTGTACAGCGCATTGGGTTTCGTAACGGCTTCAGGCTTGCGGTTGAGAGCCTTGGAACTGCAGGATCATAATCTGGAGTTTGAAATCCACCGTTGTTCTTTGGTGTGCAGTACTTCCGAAGGGTCCCAGCTTACTTTCGCGAGGTTTTGCCAACGATTTGGTAACAAGTTTCGTCGGCGTTTCCTAATGGTAATTGTTGGTAACACCGCAGGGTGGCATGTCTTTCGGCAAATTTAGGCACGCACTCGGTGTAATACTTCATCGCTGTCTTGGATGCACAGGAGATCGCAGCTGATTGCCGACAGATGTTGTCAAGGCTTCGTGAACCCTCCCGTTCGTATGTTCATGGATGTGTATTATGTTTTGGTGTGTCTTTCTTTGTCTGTATCTATCTTAATTAAAGCTTTGCACGAGTATGGCATGTATGCGTTTTGCTGGTGCATTTTTATATATACATATATTCTGGTTGTGTACTTCCTTATCTTTGTGTGTGTTTGCCTGTCTAGCTTCATGTGCTCTAATTTGTGTACTGTTGTTTTGATGCAGAAACAGATCCCGGGGTTCGAGACTTCCATGTTCTGGGTGGCTGCTGTTGCTCAACGAAGCACACATCATGTCGACAGTTTCACGTGTGACACATCTTACCTTGGCTCCGTTCATGCAGGTAGTTGCGGCGACTGCGCCCATGAACCAAGTTGCACCCGGAGTGCAATTTCCCGCGTCGGAGTGTCAGTTGCTCCTTTGGGAGCATGAAGACACCAATGCCCGAGATCAATTGATAGCTGGCAAAAAAAGCAGTGCACAGTGGTCTGCACGACAGGCTGTCAGCTCTCGCTTCGCCGTGTGCGCCAAAGCAGGCCAAAAAGATTGACGAAGAGTTGTTCGAGCACTGCTGGAACATGACGAGGCGGCGCCAGGGCCAGAAGTCGAGATGCTAAAAAAACGTCGCTCGCCATCTCCCCCAGATGGAGGTCCTGGCTCGTTCTGAAGCGTGTTCCCGAGTATAGATTCGACGCCGAACTGCAGAACGTTCAAGAGCGCATCTCTCAGATTTCCGGTCTTTTGGGTTATCCCACGAAGATGCAAAAGGTGCATCGTCAAGCCCCTAAGGTACATGCTTGGAGCCTGCATTGCCATGGATAAGGCACTCGAGAGGCTGCGGAGACAAGTGACCATTCCACTGATTGGAGTGCTGGGACACGTGGAATTGACAAGGCCAGATGTGCTTCCAGCCCGAGTGCAGCAGTGCCTGTGGGCCAACATGTACTCTGGATCTGTGGTGCCCCCAGACTTGCTACAGTGGATGTGGTGCTCTGGTCTATGCGTCTATGTGCGTAGTGGTTCCAGCTGACCGCATCGCCGGACATCCTAAACTTGTACCACTTGTGCCCATTATAGAGTTGAGATGGATGGTATTCGAGGTCAATAAGGACCACAAGGGCCTGACGCGCCTGACAAAGTCTTGCCCTCAAGCCGGTGCATATCGCCACTGTGTAACACAATTTTTCATCGAGTGTTGAACTTGACAGGTACATGCTGCGACAGCTTGGCCTAATGCTTCAGCTGGACTCTGACCGTCGCTACCCCAAAACGACTGCAGCATGTTTTGGGCAGGTCAGTACACTATGTTAGACAAGACTGCGAACTTCTGTAGGATGTTTCGCCCCCCACTCCCACCACGGATTTTCACGAACCGATGTTGCCACAGAGTTTGGAGCACTCGAGGGCCTTGGCATAATCTGCTCGGAACAAGGCTTCCTCAGCGGTCAATTCGTTTGGGCAGACTTCCCAGGCTGGGTGTGTTGAAGCGCTCGATGCATTTATGCAAATCCATCAGGTTGGGCAGGGCAGGTGTGAATTGATATGCATTTTCATACTTGAGTTCGCCTGAGCTTGTGGCCCAAGGGCCCACACGCTTGCGGGATTTTTGATGCCGACCATTGATATGTAAGCTATCTGCTGGCATCAGAGATTCGGTGCACCCTCAGGTATCGTTGTGAGCTCAGAACATCGTAGCATAAAAGTGCGCGAATCTGGAAGTATCCAACATGCATCTCTTTCCTTTCCTGGCCCTTGTTTGTTTAATATAGGATGCAGTTCTTGGGCTTCAGTGTGGTGTTCAAGAGTATGCCACGTGATCATTTCTGTCCTGACACCCCTGCAGTGCGCGACAAGCCGCGGAAGCCGTTGGCGCTGCCGGAGTGGCGCGCAAGGTGCGGCACCACACGTGTCCGAGTGTCACTTTTTGCATGCCTTCTCTGTCGGTGGTCAGGTTCCGAGTTGAAATCGAGGACACGGGAGTATCCACGCTCTACATTGCTCAGGGATTTTGCATGTGTTGCCACTTGTCGCTGCAGCATCCAGACCAGCCAGGAGAACATCGAGCACATGGATCCCACAAACCCCACGAATCCGTTCCGCGACCGGGTTCTGAGCTCGCCAGAGCCGAAAGACAAGCTGGGCAAGTAGCCAACGAGCGTAAAGGATCGGAGGAGTTTGTTCTATCCCCGGTTCGTGAGTGAAAAACCGGATCCTGGCCCCGATCCGATGATTTTCTCGCAGCTCTCTTTCCAGAGTTTGCGGCTCCGCGAGTTCCGGTTGTCGCGGCTTGTCTCACGGGGGAGATGCCGTCCTGCAGGTAGCGCTGCCAAGCAAGACGGACAAAAGATTTCTGGCAGACGACATGCTCTTCACTCTCAGCCTTTGAGCAGGAGGATGCTCGCGGCAATTCCGGTGCTTTGCGGGAGTAGTTTTTGTGCCTTGCGTCATCACACAATTTCGAGGCGTTCGGGGAAGGGCGCAGCGAGTGTTCAACGCCCGGGACAGGTTTAGCGGACATGTCACAGAAGTATTCTAGTTGTTCAGAAATATTGCTGGACTGCTTTCTGGCAAAGCGCGTTATCCAGCGCTGTTTTGGCGCAAGCCTATGTCAGTTCCGCCAGCTATGCGCGCTGAGCTCCTTGGAGGAGTTACGAGTATAACGACTACTGTTCAGCAGGTGCCAGGTCTTCCCATGCATTGAAAACGTAGTGACATAGTGCGAAGCGCAGCTTCCCGTAACAGCAAAGGCGCAGGCTGTTGACCTTCGCCCTTGCCGCTTGGAGAATTTACAGCCCTCGGCCCCCAGCCCGTAAGCGCCACCAGCGTCAGAAATTTGCTCTCAGCGAGCTCAGGAAAACTTTGATGAGTTCGACCGAATGGGAAAGGCGTTCTTAACCCTGTGTTTCTGGCGGCAAGCACTTTTTGCTTGCGCGCAGGCCTTCAACGACTAGCATGTGGTCGTTGCTTGCTGCGCCCTGGCGAATTAGTTAGACGGCTAGACCCGGCTAGAGTGAATCCATGTACTTAGTGATGAACCGCACGGTCGACGTTCTGGTGGGCTGCTGCTTTGCAAACGTTCGTTGGAAGCTGCATTGAACGTAGCCGCTCATCATGTCAATGTCTTCCATATTTATTATGTCGATCAGCGAAGTTCAATGTGTTGTGCTTCGATCGCATGGTGGAATACGAATACATCAGTTTCCATGGAGGCTGGAACCGTAGATATTCGGCCTACCCAGGTGTGGTGCTGTGTGACATGGCCATCTCTGTCAGCTGCCGTCGATGGTTGCCTGCCGGCAGTGCAGAAGTGTTGGTTTGAGCCGCGCTTGGACAGATTGCTGCATCGAGTCGAAAGTGCTGTGGGAGAGCAATGAAGTGGTCGTCAGCAAAATGTGCAGAAAGCCATCAGTCATCAAATGCCAAACACTTTGACACCGAAATTCAGTCGTGAGATTTTGCGAGCCATGCCGTATGCGGAAGCTGCATCAGTACCAATGCTGTTAACAGCAGGCGTTTTGTGGTCGGCCGGAGCTGATGTGCTCATGGTGTCGGAGTTCGACAAGCCGAGCTTGACGCTTTGGCTTGACCAGCGAGGGCTTAGAAGCGTCCGTTACCTGTTTGATCAAAATGCTTGAAGTGCATATGCCCAAGGCCACAACATGCTGTTGGTGCTGCAGTCCCTGGGGCGGCGGTGTCTCGTCTTTGGGATGGAAGAGCAATGAAGAGTGTAAGCTGATCACAAAAAGGTCCAGGGCGAGCATTGGCAGATATGCTTCCAAAGGTGCAGGCAGCCCCAAACAGCGCTCAGCATGGGCTCGCGGCAGGCATCGGCAAATCAGCATGTGTATCTGTGTAGAAATTCAAAACATGGTACAACATGAATCTTTACACAGTGATGTGACACTCGCCGTGCTGTGATGATGCTCCCTGTGACTGTTTCAGTTTAATCGGTGCGGACTCAGTCTAGTTGGGTTGACTGGTGCGATCTGTCAGGAAATCTTCTGGATAAGTGAATCGGCCTACATCTATTCTTCTATGAAGCACTGACTGCTCGCAGAAATGTTTCCTTATCTCACCCTGCTTCTCTCAGAGAGAGCAAGCCAGCAAGCGAGAGCGTCAGGCTTGTCACAGCAGGACATCCTCAACAAACCTGGGGCGAACCAAAGCGCTGCTCGCCATGAATTCAACCGTGACAGATCATCACAGCTGAAGGTCGATTGCCTAAACACTGCATAGCGGGCTTCCGAGCACTGCGCTCAGCACCTTTCGGAATGTCGTGCTGAAAATCACTCCGCTTTGTTCGTGCAAGAGCACCCACTGCTTTGCAATGCACGGTTTCGATCGAACGCTAGGATCGTGAGTCAAGCCTTGCAAGCGCCGAACTGGTCACAGTCACGCCCGAATGAGCGGGCAACCGCCTTGCCTTCGACTCGATTCAGGGACCAGGTAGATATGGTAATCGAAGTCAGCGAGCCATCGCTCACTATTTTTGGAAGTTTGCATCAGGTGCACACCGTCTCAACATCTTATCCGCAGCAGCTTGTCGACCCGCGCATTGCCACCGAGACACGACGCACCAAGCCACTTGGCATACAGATTTTCTCACGAAAGCTGCTGAAATGCAGCACGAAGTGCAGGCGAATCTTGGCATCGTGCAGGCAATTTCTTCTAAGCGCCTGCAATCCAGCAAGCCAGAGAAGCCATGCCTTGTACACGCTCGCAGCTGAGCAAAGTGCACCGAGGATGATTTGCGCTCAGATTCTTGGCGGGCTGGCTCTTTGCACAGCAGTGGAGCTAGGTCATGCTTCTTGTGAGGTGCTTTGACATCATTGCAGAAACTAACGAGCTCTGAGGTCGTGAGTGCCATGGTGCCTGTTTTGGTCTACCAGGGCTGGTGGGCGTTCGTCTCGCTGTCGACCCTCCTCCTGTCGCTGACAGTGGTTCAAGTGGCTATGAAAGCTGCGCTGCATGATGGCCTGCCATATCCATACTCTTTGACGGCACCAAGCCAGCAAAAGACCACTAGCAGTACCGGAGGCATCCTCTCCCAGAGCTGCGTAGCATGCGATTTGGGAATTCTGAGGCCCTCCACATGTTACTGACTGTCTTGACTGCCTTTGCTGCCGGCCCTCCACGTCCGGGTGAATTGCGAATGGCGCTCTGCAAACAGATGGTAGCTCTTGTCGGGGCTCGCAAAAAACGTGCAGAATGCACCACGATGGCTCGAAGGAATCCTGCAGCGCAAAGTGACATGCAGCTTGGAGACTATCTGAGGCGCTGCAGACACTTCCACCTTCGGCGGCTGGTGGTGGCGCTGTGCTGCTCCACAATGTGGCACTCACACAGGTCGGGCCATGATTTGAGCAAGCCGAAAGAGATGACAGATTAGACGCTTCGGCACCAGATTCTGAACCCGGATTCTGAACCCAGCTGCATCTGAACAAGGCCAGTGTGAGCTTTGTGACCATGCTGGGCTCCTGCACGCCAGTGGTCACCTACTGCTGCTGGGAGGCATCTTATGATTTCTTCCTTGAATACGCTTCTCCTGGCTCATGAGTTCATCCAGCATTGTATAAACACACAGTAGGTAGAGGTGCAGGTTTAGGTATAGGTGTAGACGGTTCTAATATAGTGATATAGATGTAGATGTTTCTATATATATGGGTGTATACATACTTGTATTCAGAACCAAAGGTAAGTATAATAAGTGCAAATATACCTATGTTTAGACAAACAAGCATGTAGATACACATACAAATCGATACTCGTAACATACACGTATTCGTATAACATATGAGCGTGTATGTATATATGGATGTACATATATAATCGTATATACATACAAAACGTAAGCGCATGCAAAAATGCAAAAGTGGGTACACAGAATCGCACACATAGGCCTACACATGTAAATGGAAATATAGCACGGCATGAATAAAACTATAGACACCTGTATAAAGATACATATAGCACTTGAACATACATGTAAATGCAGACAAACAATCACACGCACAGCTTGCGCGAGGCGGGGGGGGGGGGGGGGGGGGCGAAATTGCCAAACGAAGACGAGAGAAGTTGTGAAAGTTGCCAGCACGCACGTGTCATGGGGAGGTTTTCGAGTCAGGTTTGGCATGGCGAGCCGGGACTCGCGAATGCTTGTGACAGAAATAGGGGCAGCCACGGTCCGGGGATGAGGGTTTAAGGCCCAAGGGTTTATAGGGGTTTGGATTTCGGGTTTAGGGTTCTTTTGAGTTATCTCGCTTTCAATAACTCAAATCAATGAACGAACAAACGAACATGTCACAATGTGTATGAGTGAGAATGTATATATATATATACATATAT